CTGCTGTAATATAAAATGTAAAAAATTACACACTCAGCCTGTAATGGGCAGGTTTAATGCACTACTTTTATAAGTAGTGGCTTAAAAGTTCTTCGATTCCTGAAGTTACCTGCCACAGAGATCTGGTCAGATGTTTTAGCACTGGAACAGTCAGATTCAGTATCAAACAATGAGGAGAGCTCTGTCAGAATGAGCCACCTGTCATAAGGTTTCAGAATAAGTGGTTCAGTGGCCTCAGATAGAAATCTGTCCAGTGTCCAGAGGTAGGAGACCTGGATTTGCTTCTGACAGGAACTAATCAACTGTGTCATTTGGAGAAAGTCACTTGCCTTTATGTATATCTCCCCATTTGGAAAATGGGAACATTCCCTTTCCAAAATACTTCTTAATTTAAGACTTTTAAAAATATTTTATTTTATTTATTTATTTTTTAATGTTTATTTACTTTTGAGAGAGAGAGAGAGAGAGAGAGAGAGAGAGAGAGTGAGCAGGGGAGGGGCAGAGAGAGAAGGAGACCGAATCTGAAACAGGCTCCAGGCTCTGAGCTGTCAGCACAAAGCCCGACATGGGGCTCGAAGTCACAAACCATGAGATCATGACCGGAGCTGAAGTCGGATGCTTAATGGGCTGAGCCACCCAGGTGCCTCTAGACTTCTAAAAATACTTAAAAATGCTGTAAATAATATGAACAGAATCAATATAGCTAATATTTAGTAGAAGTGTTTACTGTGTGTTGGCTATCTGATACGTGTATATGCACTCACAGACACATACTCCCACCCCCCGGCCCCCCCATTTATTCCTGGCACCTGTGCTGTGAGGTGAGCTAGGTATTATTATCCACTCTGAGCTAATAAAAACTGAAGTTCTGAGGGGTTAGGTCTTAACTCAAAATCACACACCTCATTAACTGGTCTACCTGATTGTCCTAGTGATAGGAGAAGCCAGCCAGACCCAGCCTGGCCGGCTGTTATGCCTTGCACCCCACTGGCCTTCAAGAGCTCACCATACCCAGCCCTTGGCAGCTGGGCAGGGCCCAAGGCAGTCAGAGTCCTCGGTTATTTTAGGCTCTGAATAGTTTTATTTTGGGTTCCATATACCCTCCAGATTATCCCAGTGTGCTCTCAAAATACCATCATTCTTTGTATGTATCATTACATGAGAAACGTTGGTGGATGTCCAGACTAGACCGTTTTACCTCTTCTGGTGTCACCTCATGGATGCTTGACATCATCAGCCTCTGGGAACAGAAAATGAAGAGTCCCGCAGGACCACATTGACCAGTCCTAACATCATCGAGGGTGACTTTTAATCACAGATGTCAGATTTGTTTGTCTTGTTGGTTTTCAGGCCTAGCTTGTGTTAATCTGTAGAGCTGGGTTGTGAACTCACAGACAAGCATGCTTTGTACCCAGTGAGGTTTGGTTTTCTATGACCAGGGGATGGTCAGTAGTGATGTCGTTCTTCAACGCCAAACCCAGGACTTGCCTTTCAGATTTTCCTGCGTCTGATGACACTTTGCCTAAGCTACCCTTTGTGGCAGATCCCACATGCACGGCAAGAGTTAAATGAATGAAGTAGTTTTATTTACCACTTTAATAAAAGGTAGGGGACAAACTGAGGATCCCCAGGGGCAGCATTTGTTTGAGCTCTGTGAATTGAGGTTTAGATATTTCTGCTCTGCATGATGAAAACAAATAATATTAGTACTAACGCAGTCCATAGAGCAAGAGCCCTGTTAGTCCTATCTCTGAAACCTACACGAGACCTGTAATTCATCTCTGTGCTCTATTTACTTAGATTCTGGATTATTGAGCCGGAGAAGGTTTATCTAATTAGCATTTGAGGAGTCTCCAGCGATGCCATCTCAATGATGTTAATTACACTTGGATCACCTCTTACAATCCCCCTGATGTACCATGGGCCTGAGATACCATGCCCCTTTGCTAACATCTGATGCTTGTTGAAGGAAGTAATGATCATACCTGTTGTTCCCTAGGGTGGATGTTCCCCTAGGCAGGAGGATGGTCATATTTCATAGCTGGGCTCAGTATGGGTGCTAGCTGGCCCCTTTCCAAACAGCAACTTACTTCAATTCTTTGCTAGGAAGATAAAGAACATCAGAAAAGCACTGAGCTGTTAGAAGGAAACCTTGTAGTTACCAAGACTATTTGTTTTAATGTTTATTAATTTTTGATATAGAGAGAGCTGGGAAGGGACAGAGAGAGAGAGAGAGAACAGAATCCCAAGTAGGCTCCATGCTGTCAGCACAGAGCCTGACACGGGGCTTGAACTCACAAACCGTGAGATTATGACCTCAGCCGAAGTCAGACGCTTAACTGACTGAGCCACCCAGGCGTCCCGTTTTTATGAAGCTTCTTCTGCCTTCCCAGACACACAGAACTGTGCCTGGAACACACAGAACAATGGTTTCCGGTGCTTATCTCTGACTTGGTGTTGGATTGGCTGATGGCTGTGTGCGAGCCGCTTCTGGAGTTTATAAAGTACGGATCTGGTGGTCTGCAGCAGGCCCTGGGAATATATTTTTCTAATATGCACCCTAGTTTGGGAAGCACAGCTCTGGGACCGCCTCATATAATTTTGCAATTACTGTAAAAATGATAGTCCAGTTTTCTGGTCACATCACATCGTTTTCTGACTCAGATGGCCTTTCCATCATAATGACATGATATGACCTCCTGTGTCCCACCCTTTACCCATTCATTTTATCAGTATTTAACAGCTGTCTAGGATGGGCTCCAGGAACGAAGGTGAAAAGACCAAAAGATGCATGGTTCCAAGACTATAGTGTCTTTGGTCTGGTTGGGAGACAGTTGAACAGTCAAGCAACTATTGTAGAACAACAAAGTTGTCTGAACTGAATTGCAAGGGGAGCAGGTGGAATTTGCTCGCAAGTCAGGTAATGCATCCTACAGGAGAAACCCTTTGACTGGAGGCTTGACAGAGGAGGGGGTGGTTGTCAGAAACTACATGAATACATACGGGAAGGTGGAGGGAGCTTCTTTGTAAAGTCTTAGTGCCCAGAGAGCCTGCTACATGACAAGAACTACATGTCTCTTGGTTTGCCGTGGTGTGAAACACGAGGCCATACATGATAGAAATGAGAATGGGTATATTGGCTAACTGCCAAATCAGGAGGGGCTTGTGGGTCACGTGTGGTAGGAATTTGTATTTGACTTCATTAGCACATTTTCCCTGCATATGTGGGTATTTTTATAAGTGCCTCATTGATCCATATCTCTTTCAGATCCTCTCCCCTGACAGTCTGTCATGATGAAATTTCTTACTCTCCTGTAGTACCTTGGAAGGGGCACTTTGCTATATCCCATGTGCAGCCCTAGCCTCAATTCTCATTTTCTGGCCCTATTCACACCATTTTTTTTTTTTTTTTCCGAAGCTAGAAATCAGCGTCTTTGGGGGCTTCCTTCCCCGTACAACGTATGTCCTTTTTGAAAGCCAGTTACCTGCCTTGCCACCTTCATCTCTGCCGCTTTCCTCCTTGATCCCTAAGCTCCCTGTCTTGACACTGATCTTTTTCAGGCTTTCAAAGAAAACCTATTTCTACTGCAGGGCTTCTGCACATGCTGTTCCCTCAGCCTGCAGTTCTCCATCGTCACCCCATCTAGGTGATCTTCCCTGCAAGAGCCTCTTTCAGCCTCTGTTTAAAACAAGCCCACTCCCCTATGTTTTGTGACACTTAATACAATTTTATATTGTTTTATTTGTTTTGTTGACTTTCTTTTTCCTTTATTGCCAGATATCCCATTTAGATTTTATAAGAGCAACACCATGGTGTGACTCAATAATTGCAGCCTCCTTATGTATTTAGTCATTCATATTAGATAACTGCTTGCTGGATGAGTGGATGGATGGATGGTATGTGGATGGATGGCTGAATAATGGATTGATGGATGGATGGATGGATGGATGGATGGATGGGTAGATAGATGGATGGATGAATAACGGATGGGTGGATGGATGGAATTGAAGTCTGTGAATTGAATTCTTAAAAAATGCAATGTGCCATTCTTCTTTCAAGCTGTAGTCCCACTTAGCCAGGCTCCAGAGATTTCTCTTCTCCCCCTGGAGCCCACTGAAGCTGCATCCACCCCTCATGCCACAGTCTAAGCACCATTCACTCATTTAATGGCATCTGTGATTTCAAAAGCTGACACTGATTTGTCCCTCTCCTGACATGTATAAAATATATGTTTGTGTTTTTTTAATTAGCTTGGAGTGTATTTGCATTGTTTCCAATTTGATCACTTATCCAAACTTCATCTAAGTTACAGTTTTTAAAAAGACTTTAATTATAAGAAAAGCATTTTTTTCTCGTAATAAAGGCAACAGAACCATTTCAGAAAACGTGAGAGTTTCATGAAGCAAATGAGCATCCTGCACAATTTCTCCACCCTGGATTAAATACTATAGAATACCATAGGTATTTGTTTTTTTTTCCCTTCACTGCTTTTCCTATACATTCCACAACCTTATGTGCGTGTGTGTATACATGTATATGTATCCTGAATTGTAACATGATATGACCCTCATGTCATTATAAAGACTTTTAAAGGCTATTTCATTGTATGCATGATCCTAAGTTCTATTTTAGAGAATCATTGTTGAGTGCCAACAAGGTGGCAGGCACTGAGGTGTATATTACATACCACTCTAAAATTTACTGCTTAGTGAGCCGGAGAAAATAATAAAAGAGTGTCTTTCCTCAAGCAGCTCTGTTTCTATGTGGCTGTGGCAGGTTGCAGAAGCAAGAGGTGAAACTCTAGAGTTTGAATTAGAGGCAAACATGAAAGACTGGATCCCCAACAAATATACTCAGTTCAAACACTGAGTGCATTGAGCACACAGATGTCTTAAGTAAATGTGTTCCTCCTAGACCTCTAGAATAGTGAATTGGGTTGGAAGGTGTGACTTCTTAATTCCTAGCTGTGAGACTGACTTATGTTTTCCTTCTTTTTTAGAGTGACCGTCTTCTTATCAAGGGTGGCAGAATTGTCAACGATGATCAGTCCTTTTATGCTGACATTTACATGGAAGATGGATTAATAAAGTACGTATATAGAGCCTTATCTTTATCTTTTTGTACTTCCTCTCTTTATTAGAGGCTCAGAAAGAAGTTTCCTTCTTTTTTGCTTACTAGACCTTTGATTCTTTGTGTTTCATTTCTTCTTCTCCTTAAAAAATGAGTCTTTATTTAAAAAAAATTAATGTTTGTTTATTTATTTATTTTGAGAAGAGAGAGAGAGTGAGGAAAGGAGGGGTAGAGAGAGAGGGAGAGAGAGAATCCCAAACAGGCTCCGTGCTGTCAGTTCAGAGCCTGACATAGGGCTCTATCCCACGAGCTGTGCGATCATGACCTGAGCCGAAATCAAGAGTTAGACACTTAACCGACTGAACCACTCAAGCACCCCTAAAACTGAGTCTTTATTTTAACCCTTTGTTCTGGATGCACATAATCCCTTAAAATGGGAACTGGTTTTAGTTTATTTGAATTCCATGAATGACGTGAAAAATCTGAATTCAGTCAACCAAATGATGCTGTAGGCCCCTTTGTGCAAGTGACATTGACGGGCACTCTGTGCATCTTGGAGAAGCGGAAGATGTGACATTGTCCTTAAGTTCAGTGAAAACTGCACAAAAATTACAGCCCCCTAAAAATATAAGGTCTTAGGTAATTGGTATCAGAGTTCAAGTGAGGATAAGTGATACAGAAGTGCACCAAGAGGAGAAATCCCTTCAGAGGATGGTTTGCAGGGCCGGAGAGGCATTTAAACTGAGCCTTGACTTAGGTAGAGCTTAGGTGGCTGGAGCACAGATAGGACCTACATCTCAGATAAGATTTTCAAATAGATACTTTAGGGATGTGTACTTACCTTACAGAACGATCCTCTGGCCCCTTTCTCTCTGCCCCTCTGCCACTGGTTCTGTCTCTCTCTCAAAATAAACAAATGAACTTCAGGAAGAAAAAAGTGGGGTTTGGTCTACACACAAGCCTTTCCTCACATAAAGCAAGGTATGCCCCAGACACACAAGATAGTGTCTGAGACTGGTGGGTACAGGCCATCCTGTTCGCCACCCCTGGCCTTGCTCAGTTTTATTTTTACATTATGTGGCTAGTTTAAGATTCTGGTTATAGAGGATCTTTTCCTTATCTTTGAAAACTTGGCCGAGGTATAACTTTCTGTGGGTGGGTATTCCTTATGAGACCCCAAATCTAGGCTCGTGTCCCTTCAGTGAGCCTCAACACACCTTGTTGTGCTTTTATCAGTCACAGAACTTCTGGCACTGTTTGGCGCCCTGAAGGGGAATGACCCCATCTTGTTCAGCTCTGTATCTGAGCATTTCACCCAGAACTTAGCATGTAGAGGCTAAAGAGCTACCTTTTATTGAGTATGTAGTATGTGCCATGCACTGTGTGAAATGGTTGACATGCCTTACTTCATTGAGTCTGCCAGCAATACCACAAAGTAAGTACTGTTAGTACCTTTTTCTCAGATGAGGAGAAAGAGGAACACAGGGAGTAATTCACTTGCTAATGATTAACATATTCATCAAATACATTGAATGAATGAATGAGTGAATGAATGAATAAACAAATGCATGAATGAAGATATTCTTGTTTAGTTGCCTTACTGACAAAGACACTTTTTCATATTAGAAAGAAGACAGATGGAAATAGTAGGCAAGCTAACGAATGTGAAATAATAATTTCTTTAAAATATAAGTGATTTCATATTTTTCTCTTACTAAAAAAGTTAAAAATTTTTTTTTCATTTTATTTATTTTAGAAAAGAAAGCATGAGCAGGGGAGGGGCACAGAGAGAGAGAGAGAGAGAGAGAGAGAGAGAAAGAGAGAGAGAGAGAGAGAGAGAGAGAGAGAATCTTAAGCAGACTCTATGCTCAGCATGGAACCCAGTATGGGGCTTGATCCCATGACCCTGGGATCTTGACCTGAGCCAAAATCAAGAGTTGGTCACTCAATCAACTGAGCCACTTAGGTGCCACTTGCTAAAAAATTATTGTATACAGTTGGCTCTCTTTGGAGATAGCAGGTTCCCTGATGTAGAGATTTTCAGAGATGGAAATAAACATAGTACCTAATGTTGCTTCCTCATTCCAGAGCTCATGACGGGCATCACTAATTGATCACAGAACTTTTCACAGTTGAGCCTTAAATACAGGCTCAGAACCCATCTTCACACAGTGACTCAGGCATCTACTACCGGAGTTGAATATGTAAATCCTCTTTGCCATCTCTGTTAGAATAGCCTAGAAGGCTGCTTGCCAAGAATGTTCTAGAAGGGATGTAACCATCAGAGGTGTGTGTTGGGGGTGGAGCAAAGGGTGGATTAACATGTTCTTCATCCAATCCTGAAATTTTATAGATCTTCAAAAACATTCTGAAATCACAGAGCATAAAAGCAGAAGTAATTCCCTATGGTTGTTACATAGCTGTTTGCCTATCTGAGTATTTACGGAGAGCCTGCTGTGTACAAGGCAGTTGTCTAAGGCATGGGACACGTGCTATATCATGTGCTATGGTGGATATCATTGAGACCCACATCTTCCCCTAGGAACCCCACATTCTTTTAGGGGAACTGAGGGAGATATCTGTATTTATGAAAAAGGCATAACATTACCTGATAATATCAGTAACAAGTATTAAAGTAACAGAGTAGATGAGATTCAGGGAGAGGGCTATATGGGATTAGTATGGTTATTGACTATAATAGCTGATGCTTATTGACTTCTGTGCCTAGCAGTACGCTATGGGCTTAACACATATTCACACTTAATCTACATGACAAACCTATGGAGGAAGTGTTTTTTTTACATCTCACAAATGAAGGAATCAAGACATGGTGAGGTTAAGCAACTTGGCCAAGGTCATAAAGCTAGTAACTAACAGAGCCAGGATTGTGAACCCAGACAGTCTACATCCAGGGCACATCTACACTCTTAATTATTAGACCTGGCTGGCTGTCAGTAGGGGTTTGAGCAAGGTGGGGAGATACAAGCCAAGCCTTCAAGGATTAATGTGACCTTGAGTGACTCAGTGGAGAAAAGGAGGAAGGCATTTCTGATTCAGACATGGTATTACAAGTGCTCAAAAGTGGTGGAAACATGAATATATACACACATGGGCTGGACAGCTAACTCTTCATGCCTTTTGTTCTCAATTTGCCTCAGAGGGAAATCGGAGAGGGAGGAAAATGGGAAGACAATGGCCAGTATCTGGACTATAATGGAGTTACAATCAGAGGCTACATTTTTTCCGCAGTGTGTTTTGAATTGTGGTGTCTCTGGAATGGCCCCATGGGGATGTGGTGAAGTTGAACTCTTAGAGATGTCAGGAATACTTTATTTTAGTTGCAGAACTTAGATTTTGGCAGGCCAGTGGTGGACTTCTTACTATCCCGAGAGAGTGTCTGTCTTGGCTGGCTATGCACAAAAGGGGAATGTATTCATGCCACTGGTAGTGAGGTACATGTCTCCCCAAGGTAGGATGTGGGTATTAATAACGTCAGGGCTTGTGACTCTTAAGTCTACCTAGAATTAACTGGTCATTTAAATTTTTTTTTAATGTTTATTTATTTTTGAGAGAGAGAGAGAGAGAGAGAGAGAGAGAGCGCGCGCGAACACGAGCAGGCAAAGGGTAGAGGGAGAGAGAGACACAGAATCCGAAGCAGGCTTCAGGCTCTGAGCTGTCAGCACAGAGCCCGATGGGGGGGACTGTGAGATTGTGAGCTGAGCCAAAGTCGGACGCTCAGCCAACTGAGGCACCCAGGTGCCTCTTTTTTTTTTTTTTTTTTTTTTTTTTTTTTTTTGGTGAACTGGCCATTTAAATCAACAGTGTGAAATCACATGTAAAGCAAGCAACACTGGATGGTCTGTAAGGTAACATTTTGCCAGGAGTAGGTGTCTTAGTTACTTACCTTGTGTAGGTACTGTGTCTTCCCACCTGAGTCCCCCATTCTTCTTCCCGGGGATTCACTGAAGCTTCATGGGCAAAGGTGTGTCTGATAGAGGTTGTCCTCATCACCTTCCTGGCCTCGAAGCTTCTGCCAAGATCCTGCCCACCAGCTGGGTGTCTGTGTCTTTGGCTTCCTCTTTTCGAACCTGCCCTTGGCTGTGACTGACAGATTAATTACCAGGGGGAAGGGTGGACTTGGGAGTGAAGAATGAGGTGTAAAATGACCCACTCAGATTCTTCTTGTTAGGAGCACGGGTGGACTCACTTCGAGGATAGCTAACTTCACATACGTATTCTTTAAATGATTCATGACCTCCTTCAGTCTCTCCTAATGGTTCCTTATTTGTTTTTCCAAATGTTACTCTTCATCCTTCACTAAAATAAAGAACACAATGAAAGGGGTAACAAAAACACGTCTATTTAAAAAAATATATATTTATGGGGTGCATGGGTGACTCGGTTGGACATCTGACTTCAGCTCAGCTCATGATCTCGCCGTTTGTGGGTTTGAGCCCGGCATCAGGCTCTGTGCTGACAGCTCAGAGCCTGGAGCCTGCCTCAGAGTCTGTGTCTCCCTCTCTCTCTGCCCCTCCCCCACTCGCACACTGTTTCTCACTCAAAAATAAATAAATAAACATTAAGAAAATTAAAAATAAAATGTTTATTTCACATTCTATATTGCAGACCCTGCCAAGTGCTGGGGTTGCAGTACAAGCCAAGAAGCATGTCTCCACCAAAAAGCAGATCAGCTTGTTTTGAGTCTGTAAAAGTTGTTTTCTGGGTGTATGTCTGTCTTGCTTGGTTTCTAGATTGTGAGGCTCATGAATCACTTGCAAAGATCACTCTGATAAATATAAGTTACAGTGTCTCAAATCCTCTCAGTACTGTGTTTGTCTTCAGAGTTGCTTCTTTGAAATCGTCAGTTGCTTTACTGTCTCACCAGGCAAATTGGAGACAATCTGATTGTCCCTGGAGGAGTGAAGACCATCGAGGCCAATGGGAAGATGGTGATCCCGGGAGGCATTGATGTCCACACTCACTTCCAGATGCCATACAAAGGAATGACCACAGTGGATGACTTCTTCCAAGGGACGAAGGCTGCCTTAGCGGGGGGCACCACCATGATCAGTAAGCCGCCCAGTCCTCCACACTCCTGGTCCCGACGAGTGCCTGTTTAACTAACGTGTTAACCCCTGTTGCTCTCTGGCCATAGCTCGTACACATCTCTCAACTCAGAGCATTGGCCATCTGCCTGATGGGACCCGAGGAAAGCAGATGGTAGTGAGGATGCTGGCAGGTCACTGAAATTGGATAGAGGAGATTCACGAGGCTCCTGGCCATGAAGGCAGCTGTCCTCTCTTGTCTGCCTCAGAGCAGGGTGTGGGTGTGCAGTGGGTGGGGAATCAGCACTTCTCTCTGGGCCAGACACTGGGAAGAGTCTGAGGGGCAAAAGTGCAGAGATGGGCAGCATGTTATTTCAGAACTTCCCACTTGGGCTTGAGGCAGGAGGGGGCAGAGAGCACAGGCAGAGCAGTGTGAACAGGGCTAAGCATCCCAGAGAGGGAAAGATAATGGAGACCTGTGGTTCTGGAGAAACCAGGGGGTTCATTGCCATTTACTGTTATCTGGTCTGCACTGGGTTTTGACCAATTCGTATCTTAAGATTAGGCAAGCTGTGGGGGTGGTTTCCTTTGTTTTTTGTTTCTGTTTTGTTTTTTTTTTTTTTTTTTTTTTTTTTCTGGGAACAGTTGCAATTCCAGAGAAACCTAGGATGTTGCATGCCACTGCATGACTGAACACATAGCATTCTAGGGCAGTCCTTCCTGTCCCAAAGGAATCCCAGGGAAGTGGGTCCCATCCCAGGCTCGGTTCTAAACTTGGTCAGCAAGAGCACTGTTTATTTTAACACCGTATACATCCATCCAAGAACACAGAACAGCCTGAGCTGTAGAGTTTATTCATTGTCTTTTGCCTCCTTTTGATGGGAGCCCCAGCCGGGTTGAGCTTCAGCTAGTTGGGTGTGGAAGCCCAGGAAAACTGCCTCAAGGCCATAAAAGGTGCAATTCAGGGAGACCAAAGCTTTTCTCCAGCTGAAGGGAGAAGCCAGCTGCCTTCCCTGCAGCCGCCTGCCCACAGAGGCCCCGGTGCACGCCTCAGTAATGCAGCTCCTCTCGTTTGCTTTCTGATAAGCACACGTGGGCTGCCTGTGGTAGGAGGCTGAGGACACCAGAGATGTTGGTTTGGCTTTCTGCCATCGGGCAAGGCTTTGGACCTGTTCGGTGTCCTGGGAACATGTGTTGTGCTTGGTCCTCAATGTGAGGGAGGGAGGGGAGGAAAGTCAGAGTTGTGGGTGTTGAGAGAAAACCATACAGAGAGACACAAAACTGTATGTGTTCTTTGTAGATAATTTAAAAACTGTAGATATGCAGCAGGAAAAGCAAACCTATAAAGCTCGCATCACTGTCAGAGTGTGGCTGTAGTTTTCTTCCTATTTAACAAAAATAGACCCTAATAGACATACAGTGTTTTAGTGGTGTTTTAATCCACCGTTTCACTAAATAACCATGTCACGAGTGTCTTTCCATTCATTTAATTTTATTCCACTGGAGCATTTAAAATAGGTGCCTAACCATCCATTTTAGGAAGGTATGTTTATTATTTAGCTGAACTTCTCTATTGTTCAAGATTTTGGTGATTTCCAATTTTTCACTTTTATAAACATTTAAATAATATTTGCAGTGGCAAACATCTATAGTGTGCAGATTTTGCAGACAGCCATGTTTTATTAGGAATAGTTCTTAGGCCCAGGAATAATTACAGAGTTAAGGTATGAAAAATCTCAGATTTTTGATGTATATATCAAAATTGTTCTCAGGAATGTTGTAGCAATTTGCACTTCCCCCAACTGCCCCAAGGGAGCTGTGAGTGTCACTTTTGTGTTATCCTCATCAGGGGTGAATGTCATTATTTTTAAAACTGCTATCCAAGGTTGCACACATTGTAGGAGTAGATTTGGGCCTCAAAGAACACTTCTTTTTTAATTTTTAGAGAGAGAGAGGGCACAGTGGGCAGAGGGGGAGAGGGAGAGAGAGAGAAAGAGAGAGAGAAAGAGATAGAGAACCTTAAGCAGTCTCTAAGCTCAGCATGGAGACTGACACGGGGCTCGATCCCACAACCCTGGGATTATGACCTGAGTCGAAATCAAGATTCAGACGCTCAACTGCCTGAGCCACCTAGGCGCTCCAAAAGAAAACTTATTCTTGGCAAAATGTTTGTGTGGAAATAAGATCTGTGGGCGGAGCTTCAAGTTCACGTACCTGATACTGGCTCTTTCCTATGGTGGTGAGCACAAGGATGTCACTGTCTTCTTACCTGACATAAATTTGAAGTCCCTCCTTCCACCCGTAGAAGGGAGTCTGACTTTCTTCACTAGCAGTGACTTCCTGTAATACTGGCAATAATGGTACATGGTGGACATTCATTGACATTTATTGAGCACTTACTATGTGCCAGGCATCAGGTGAGATACTTTTCATGCATTTTCCCTTTGAATCATATAACACAATTAGAAGGAAGGCACTATGGCACTCCATCCTCCATCTCCCTGAGCACCCATTTCAAGGATAAAAAAACCGAGGTTTAGAGAGGCTAGTAGTTTGTCCAAGAGCAACATGGGTAAGTGACAGTTCAATTAGCAGCCATCTGGAAACTGCCTGAGAACACTTTCTAAGGTTAATTCCACGCTCAGGAAGTGGAGGCTTTGCAGCCCTAGCTAAGCACGTGGGAGCAGGGGAGCAATGGCTGGATCCGTGAGTTACCCATGTGGGGCCTCTGTTGTTCAGTTGACCACGTGGTGCCTGAGCCCGAGGCCAGCCTAACCGAGGCCTACGAGAAGTGGCGAGAGTGGGCAGATGGGAAGAGCTGCTGTGACTATGCCTTGCACGTGGACATCACCCACTGGAATGACAGCGTCAAGCAGGAGGTGCAGAACCTCATCAAGGACAAAGGTGAGCCTCTGTGCGCCGCCCCCCCCCCCCCCCTTCTCTTTGCTTGGAGTCTGGAACCTTGAGCTAGGTGCTAGGTGCAGGGCAACTGCTGTGTTCCAGGCACCTTGTGTTAATGTATGCCATCTTACTCCCTCCAGGGTCCCCACAAAGAAGATTCTTCTCCTCACTTTGCAGATGGAGAGCCTGAGGCTCAGAATAAGTGGCCCAGGCTCACAGAGCTAGTAAGCAGTAGTTATACCCAAAGTCTGTGCCCTTCGCCTCCACACGGCCCTGCCTGTTTTACAGAGGAAAAAACTGAGGCCAGGAGAGGCTAACATCTTACAGAAGGTCACAAAGCTACTAAATATGAGAGCAGGAATTTTTGACCTTTGTCACTTTCACCGCAAAGATCAAACCACTACTGTTCTAAAACAGTGGCATCCTCAGAAAAGGCCGCGGCATTTCTGGGGGCAAAGATACGTTCTTACCCAGGCTAGGAGCTTAGGACATGGAAACGTGTGTGTGTGTGTCCCCTCAGTGAGCACATGACTTATGTTTCCTTGTCCTTGATCATCAGATATTTCACAGACACGCACTGCCCCCCATACACGCACACAGACATGCGATATGCTGGGCATCATCACATCGCCTGGGGGATTTAGGGAAGTATGGGAATGGTCTCCCTTGAACGTTCAGGGCAAAAGGAAGCAGGCCAGTAAAGAGGAACAGGATAAATGCTGCAAGGTGCAGAATATTATTGTAATAGTATTAGCCTCATACTAATTATATTACAATATTAGTACTAATGACTGCTAGCATAGTAACATACACTGTTATAACACTAACCTAGTGATCCTATTACCAGTGAGCTGCCTTAATGCAGATGCCGAGTGCAGTGGAAGAGAGTGTGCTCCGGGTTGGAGGGGAGAGGATGGGTTCCCAGAGGATGAGGTTTTTCTTTCCATCTCCCCCCTCACCCCGCCCCCAAGCTCTGCTCAGACCTTCCTGATACAGGATGTGGAAGTAACCCCCTTCTTTCTTGTGATGCCTCTCACTCTGGACATCTCCAGTGGGGTAGAAGATGGAACGGCCTTAACACCCACTTCTCTGCCAAAGGGCCCGGGTCATTCCGCGGATGACAAAGAGGCTTATGGGAAGGGTAGTGTTGGGAAAAGCTGCCCTGAGCTGAACCACTCTGGGTCGGGAAGTTCTCAAATTACAACCCACTTTGGCCTGGAACAATGTGGGCTGAGATGGCCCTAATGGTTGGAGACCAAAATTATCCTCCTTTCCTCAAACTGATTCTCTGTTCCCTAGCCCCACCTACTTATATAAATTACTATATTAATGGTTTACTTTGGGGTGAAAAATTAAATAGCTCTTTCCTAGCAACGCTTATAACTTGGATATTTAAGCATAAGGTGGACCTTGACCTCTGCCCATCAGCTCTGTAGTTTCCCGAGGCCATGGTCGCTGTCTTAGAGGCAATAGCCGGCAAGGCTTCGTGTAGAGCAGGCATTCATTAAGCAGTGAAATAAACCCAATCCCAGGAGCTCCATTAATGAAGCTCAAGTATGTGCCAGGTCTGGTGCTAAGAGTTCGGTATGTGTTGGCTCATTTAACGTTTCCAGCTGCCTTATGAAGCAGGCTATTGTAAATTTTCCATTTTACAGGTGAGGAAACCAAGAGGCGAGGTATTCCCAGCTCGCTGAGCTAGAATGTGGTGCAGCCGCAGTGTGTGAGCCCGACTTGTGTGCTACAGTGATTCTCAATGAAAAAATACTGCCTCGAGCAGCAGCAAAGCTTGCTGACCCTCTGGGGAGGGGAATGGGGGTTAGGGGGCAAGGCAAGAAAGAGGCACAGCAGAGCCTGTTCTGCTGTGACCCCATGTAGGCATTGTTGTTTTTCTAGGTGCGGGGAGAATGGAGAATGGGAAGCATCTGCTTTATGTTGGACAGGTGCCCATAATGCACTCGGTCGGGCCCCATGGGCGATGAGAGCAAAGGATAGAGAGTGCTTGGGCTAATGTTGTCTTCCTCCTGTTCTCCCTCCCTTCCCTCTCTTGCAGGGGTTAACTCCTTCATGGTTTACATGGCCTATAAGGATTTGTATCAAGTGTCCAACACAGAGGTAACAAGCCATTGCTGTGTGGTTTGGGGTATCTGGATGGGCTTCCTATTGTTGCTATGACCTTGGCTCTTTGAGCATTAGTCACTGTGGTCGCTGTGGGAGACTGCTGGGCCAGAGTGCTTCTTAGAGCCCTCGCAGTCCATGGCACTGCGAATAAATAAGGTAACAGGCAGGGTGCCCATGGCAGGGCAGACCAGGAGCTAGAATTTCCACTGGCAGCAGCTTTCTCCAAAGGACGGGAGGAAGGGTATGCCAAAATCTGTGTCTACCAAACAAGCCCTAAGCCCCGCAGGAGCTCAGCACAAGTGTGAGGTGCTATATCCTGCAAGACACAGGAGGGGTTAAGGAGGGGTTTCTGCTGTTTGGGGTGATAGCTTGCCCGTGACTCTCCCGAAGGCATTCTCGTGGCCTGTGTTGGTTTTAGACGAATCTCACGTTTTCAGAGGAAATGCAAGAAGTTAGTTCCCATGCCTCCTGGTTGGGAGGTGAAGGGAGGTCTGCCTTGATGGATTAAGAAATAGGGGTTTCAGCTTTCGCTTTAACTCCTGGCCAGGCTGTAGCAGCTTTCGGGAGCACTTGTGGAGAAGAATAGTGAAGGTCTATCTCAGCAAAATGGGAAATTATACCATTAAAAACGTGTGCTGGAGGCAGAGTTAAAGTCTCGACAGCACTTGGTTACACGTTCGCCCTGTCTGCCGAGGAGACATGACATGTTCTTTGTATAGACGGTTTCCTAGAGTTCCTTTGGACTCGCACTCTTTGGTCATGCATATTTTAGTCTGTATTTCTCGCTCTAATCGCTGGTATCCTCTGGTTCTCCTCATTTGGTTTATTTATGGCTCTAGTGAGTGACCCTTGTGTGAAGTTGCTGGAAGCATCCGTGCCTTGTGAAGGTGACGAGTCCTTTCTCTTGCAGCTGTACGAGATCTTCACCTGCCTGGGAGAGCTGGGAGCCATTGCGCAAGTTCATGCTGAGAACGGGGATATCATCGCCCAGGTGATGTTGTGCAGCTCCCCGGAGCACGCTGTCTGCACGAGCTCTGGTCTTCAGCCCATCTCTCTCCTCATTCCTTCAGTATTGCTTGAGCTCTTAATGTGTGCAAGGCACGCTCATAAACGCTGTGCTAAAAACGGAACCTGCCCCAACAACCTCCCAATCTAGGAGGAGGGAAAAAGGTGGAATGAAGACAAGTTGAGGGAGAAAGGGGAGGCCGCTCTAAAACAGGGAGCCGTCTGGCCATACTGGGGAATCAGAAAAGGCATCGCGGGAGAGGTTTTCAAATTGGACCATTTAAGTGGGAGAGCATGGCTGATTCTCTTTTCGAAGTGAGTCCAAGCTAAGTGACATTCTCTGCCCCAGAGAAAAACCGTAAGGCAGCACGTCTCAGAAATCTCATCCAGGACTGCGGAGCTCACGGCTTTAGATAATAAAGAACGTAGGGCTGTGGGGATCAGATGCCCCGCTGGTTTCCTAGAAGTTGGACTGAGAAACCCGACGCAGGAGTGAGGAAAGTGAGGCCCCAAGGCCCAAAGTGATCATTTATGAGGAAGCAGAAAGCACTTTCTCCATCTCCTGGGTCGCTTAATGGGCTGGATGCACAGATGTCTCTTAGCCAGGGTTTTGTTGATGTCAGAAGCATTCAAGATTGGCCCCCACTAGGAGGAAGCAGCCGGAAGAGTGGGAGCTCTCTCGGTCCACTTAGTAACCTTCACAGAAAAATCCATTACTCATTCTTTCAAAGAGTATTTCCTGTGCATTTTATGCCAGGCACGAGGCTACTGAGGTGAGCCCCCAACAGACGCATTCCTTAGAGTTGCCCAAGAGTTGGTGAATGTGGTCAGCAGGGGTGTGGGAACAGTGTGGGGCCAACTCTTGTCTCAGCCCCACTGGCCTCCAGCAGCAGGTACCCTCTGGCAAACACTGACTACAGTAGGCACTGGGAAGTGCTCTAGCACATTTTCACTTGATCTGCCCTGCACCCTTGAAAGATGGCTGCTATCTGCCTGGTTTTGTAGATGAGCATATTGGGCTCAGAGGATCAAGTCACGGGCCCAGGTATCACAGCCAGTAACTGGAAGAAAATCTTAGCTCCAAGGGTGGCTCAGTGGGCCTCCTCCCCCAGAGTTGGTGTGTCCTGGGCCCTTTGCTCCCCCAGTCCGGCTGCAGGGCCTCCGCGAGGCAGCGTCCCCACAGAGCCGGGCTCCAGCTGTTACCATTGCAGACGCTGGATGTTGTCTCACCAGTGGAGGAGGTGAGCTGAATGTGTCGTTCCCTCTTGCTGACCAAGGAGATTAATTAGGTCCCTGACAGCCTTCTCCCACGTCCCCCACACACCCAGAGATAATGAAATCGTTTTCCAAAGAGGGTCCGGTGCCTGTGGGAGGCATCCTGGTCGTGTTAGGGCTGTTACTCCTCCTCTTTCTCCACGTTTTTAGTGCAGCAGCCAGAGGCCCCAGCCCTCCCTCCAGATGCCCTAGAAACCAAACTCCCTGCTACTTCCTTCTAAGCCCTGTGGAGGCAGACAGGTTGCCATTGCCAAGCCCCTTGTCCAGCCTCCTCTTGTGGCTCCACAGCACAGATATATTTCTGGTTCCCCCCGCCCCCACTCTTCCCTGCCTTGTGAAAGATCTGTTCTCAGTCAGGGAAAGAATAAGGGCATTTTTCCACTTGGATGAGTTTCTTGTGTGTGTTTATTACATGGAGGTGGAGCCGAAAGATTTTATCATGTTGTCTAAATGAAGGCAGCTGCTGTACTCAGAGTTTAGGCAAATGTCACCAAAGAGCGAGAAGAAATCTCTCTCAAGGATACCCACGATGGACATTTTCAACAGTTTCAGGCTGGCAGGGCATTCTGAGAGCACAGCATCTTGAGCTCGTCATCTGACAGTATTTATTGAGCACCTACTATGTGCCAAGCCTTGGGGAGGGAAGATGAAAATGACAGGGTCCCTTTCCTCATGGAGTAAACCAAAATTGTATCCTGCCCCAAACCGTGATGTGATTACAGCAATGATCAGTGCCCCAAGGAGCCCACTGCTCCTGCACCCATGTAAGCTGGCTTCAGTGGGTCTTTGCATGCCCTTCCTGACCTCCCAGCTCTAGGAACACCATGGCCTTTAAGAATGGGACTTCTCAGGGACACCTGGGTGGCTCAGTCGGTTAAGCCTCCAACTTCGGCTCAGGTTCATCAGTTCGAACCCCACGTCAGGCTCTGTGCTGACAGCTCAGAGCCTGGAGCCTACTTTGGATTCCAGGACTCCCTCTCTCTCGGCCCCTTCTCTCCTTGCACTCTGTCTGTCTCTCAAAAAATAAATAAATGTTAAAAAAAAAAAAAAAGAATGGACTTCCCAGCATGAGCAGTGCATTGAAATCACCTGTGGAGCTTAGGGATTCCTGAGATTCTCCAACTTCCAGAGATTCTGATTTAGGAGGTCAGTAGTAAACTTCAGGCAAGCATAATTTGAAAAAGTTCCCTTGATGATTTGAATGTGCTTGGAAACCACCTCTGGAGCAAGCTTCCTCCCGTGCGCCATCCCAGCCCTCTTGAACATGAGCGTCCTATGAGACAGGAGAAGCTTTGGTTGGACACCTCAACCTTTGTGTGACTTGAGGAGGCAAAGCAGGGTGGAAACTCACCAGCGTTCAGAAGAAATCGTATTCAGTCTAAGGCTCCATAAATGGAACAGTAAGAATGAAAAGTGAACTTGGCTGTAACAATCAGCCTCTGGCCTTTGTTCTAATCCTGCACAGCTGGACACTGTGACCATTTCACTGCTCACAGCAGCTTGAAATATACGATATGCGTCTTTCTTCCTACATCTTAAGCAAAATTTATATTACTCAAAGCAAAACAAAACAAAACAACAGAACAAAACAAAACAAAACCAAGAAAAACTAGATTTTCTTTTCCAGAAAGAAGGAATCCCTTCCCTTCTAAACATCTCATAGTTTCGAAGTGAAACGAGGTTTCGTTCCCTTCACTCTCTGTCCTCCCTCTCCCTCCCTGCCAGGGCAGGGTTTCATTGGATTTGGCCTTAGCATTTTGGGAGCAAAGGCCAGCCAAACTGCAGATATGGAGGCTTAGGATTTCTGCCAGTTCCAATTAGCCCACGTGTGTGCTCACTGCCCAGCCACCTGCTTCTTCCAGAAAGCTGGCCAGAAGTCTGAAGAATTTAGCCATTAGCTGTGTGGGGTGGGCAGTTCTGCCACAAAACAACCTAATTAAATAGAATCTGACCCAAAGAGTAACTCAGTTAATGCTGTTTGGAGGCATTATTTTGTCTGGTTTAATTCTGAGTCCATTTACTTCAGCCATAAATTCAAACCACAAAATAGCCTCGGGGCTTTGTTACAGTGCAGATTCCTAGAATTTAGCCTCTGTATTTTGAGGCTAAATTGGAGAGGACCTTGGAGAGGACCTCCTTGGAGAGGACCACGGAGCTGCTCAGCCAGGAAAGGCAACCCAGGGGATTCTGATGTAGGTGGTAGGTGTACCAGACCTTGGGAGACACAGAATGAAACTGTCAGCAGTAAGTGAGCTGGTGTGACTTTTGATGTGTCATGTAGAAAAAAAAAAAAAAATGATCCTCTAACAGACTGCCATCCTTTTAATTTAAAAAAGCCACCCTTAAATGATTTTTTTCTCCTCTTATTTAAGACTTGACCCTATTTCACAATTCCAGATAGAGCATTAACAAATGTATTCAACATACGCATTTTATTCTTTTTGTTCCCTTGAACACTTCTTCAGATTAAAATACACCAGCACAGCTTTTCTAGACCTCACTGGAGCTTATCTCAAAACTGGTCTGTGTTCTTATCTCATTGTAGGAGCAAACCCGGATGTTGGAAATGGGGATAACTGGTCCGGAAGGCCATGTGCTGAGCAGACCAGAGGAGGTGAGTTGCACGGGGGCTGGGGGATGGAGGAGGGGCAGGTGCTCTGCTTTCCAGCATCTTCTGGGAGACTCCTCTTACTGCAATACCTTATGGCCGCTGCTCATTTGAGGGTGTGTGTTCAGCCCGCCTTTCCTAGGCACATGTGCACACGGTGTATATGAGCAAGTATTGCTGGAAGGTGAGAGTCTCTGTGAATACCAGATAGCAATCCCGGAACCTTTTTTCCAAAGACCGCTTCTGACTGACCCAACTCAGGGGACTCTGAGAAAAGGAATGTAAGGGAAATGTTTACTTCTGATCCCTAATCTCTCTAAAGATAACACAGGTTGGAGTGTACTCCACAGTTATTCAGCTGGAGAGGTAAATCCCCAAATCCTTTCTTAATCAGTGTGAATCTTAAAGACATGTCCGTGTTATATTCTGAGTCCTGCAAAATAAAATATTAGCGATATGGATAGTAGGGGGAGTGGGCGTCTCACAGACATTATGTCTGTCGCTTTGTGTGATGAAGTCCAGGTATGGGAGTTTCCCACGTGTAAGATGGGTGATGAATAGTGACTTCTAAGCCCCTGATGAGTGAATAAAAGGTCACTAGTGGCTGATTGCATGTGTTTGGGATGTCGGCAGCTTCAGCTGCTGACACAGGACACAGAGTAGGGACTTGGCTGCCCGTGTGGCTGACAGCATATTGGCTTTGGGAGGCCAGCCTGCGGTTGGCACCTGGGGTGTGTTGAGAGCCCTCTGTGTGAGTGAAGGGAGCCTGGCTCTTGCTTTGTTATCCCCAGCCCCACACTCTACAGCAGGTAAGAGGAGGCAGAACCAGACGTCCGTGTATCCCTGTTGCCCATCTCTTCTAGAGGCTTTATAAAATGAAAATGTAACACACATACAGAAAAGTGCCCCAATCATAAAGATTCAAGGGGTTTTCACAAGCCGAATACACTTGTGTAACCAGCACCCACTTGGAGAAGCAGAGCACTGTCAGAACCCCAGAAACTCCTCTGTGTCTAATGATATCATTTCCCAGTTAAAATAATTTATACCTATTTCATAATATGTAGTATGGGTCCTTTCTGTGGAGCCCTAAGCTTATACCTGGAACTGTGCTGATTACCTCAGTTGTCCTTGCTGCTGCTCTGGGCAGTTGGTAGTGTTGCTGGTGGAAGAAACTGAAGCTCAGAGAGGTTAAGCTACTGGCTGCTTCCATGTGAAGGATTGGAAAGCTGTTGACATGCTGTGAGTAGGGCCGGGGTGATCAGCACTGTTGGTGAAACTTTTCCTAAATGCTGGTCATTGTAGCAATTTGCTGGCAAGATTGATTCCTGTAGCAGCAGCCAGGGGATTTCTGAGCAAAGTCTATTTTTGTTCCCTGGTTTGTTTTTCCAACCCCCCCCTTCCCCCCCCACCCCACTCCTGTTCCCGTCTCCTTTTTAGTAAAAAGCCTCTCTGCCGCAGATCTGGACAATCCTGGAAACCCTTTTGGGTGAAGCTGGAGGGTGATGTAACCTTCCAAAGATAGTCATGCTGTCAAGGTCCTGGAAACCTGCTGTGCCACGAGGGCACGGGATCACGGGTGCCAGGACCGAGGGCGTGGGGAGTGGTGTAGTCAGCACAGGTGTAAAGAGGGTGGGATGGGCGTAGGAGGGACCTACCCCTCTTCAAGGCAGAGCACACCCGGCCACCTTCTCCAGTGATGCTGTGCAGAGAGCTGAACCCCAGGTTTGCTCCAGAAGTCTGGGCGATGCAGGGAGGTGGCCACATTCGCCTGTGGTCAGGGGCTCCAGGGGCTCATCCCTTTGGAACAAAGGGCAGCTTGGGAGCCGCCAGCAGGGCCCTGCCAAGTTTTAGAGTCTGTCGGCTGAGCCGCACCCACCAAGGGCAGTGGCTGGTTTACATTATGCAAGCACCGGGCATCTGCAAGCTATTTTTGGTATTTTTAAAAGTGATGGGTTGCATAGGCTAACCAGAATGTCATATCCATCCAAAAAGGAGTTGCTGCTGATTGAATGGGAGAACACTAGTGTCTCTGCTGCGGGCTGAATAGGACTGAGTTGGGCTTTGGGCTTTGGGCAGCAACACAGGCTCTCTCACCCCCGTAGGGATGTGATCGGCAGTAAGACCAGTAGCCAGCCTGCGAGGACCAGGAGTGGGGCAGTTGCCTTAAGGATGAACCCATAATCACAACAGCCCTGTGTGCCAGGTCCTGTCACTCTTCCCCCTTGGTAGACTGGAAACTGAGATTTGGGGAGGTTGTGTAACGTACCTCAGGTCACCCAGCTTCTAGCTGGCATAACCAGAACTCCAACCCAGGCCGTCTGAGTGAGCCTGAGCTCCAAAGACCCTGCTTTGTTGATAAAGTAAGGGGAGACTCATTATTTCTTCCTGAAAAAATTCAGCCGAGTTGGTTAGCACATGTGAACACATAGATTCCACTTTCGGGTGGGATGGAAGAAATAGATGATAAGAGAAGTCTCTGCTGAGAAGCCTGGGAATTACTAGTGTAAGAAATGCCTCGTGGGATTGCCATCGCTGACCACCCTTGCTGCAGGAAAGGATTGATGTCTAATTGCCTTTACTGGTTAATGCTGACGTATTGGTGTTGGGATTGTGTTTTGCCGGAGAATCTGCCTGGGAAGATTGGGGAGCAAAGGCTTCCATCACAGGTAGTCGTTGGGATAATCACAGGGAGAGAGAGAGAACCATCCAAGGGAAGTGAGGGCGAGGCTCTGAGAAGCCAGGTGAATCACCCCAGCTTTGGATCCAAGGACTCTCACTCCAGATCTTGTAGGCTTTCAAGCACTGTGCCGCACTACCGGCTCAGTTTGTGGAGGCAGGGGAGTAGCTCTCCGGGAGGCTCATGCTTGTCTTGACTCCTGGGACTTCTTTTTGCAGCTGGAAGCTGAGGCTGTGTTCCGTGCCATCACCATCGCCAGCCAAACCAACTGTCCACTCTACGTCACAAAGGTCATGAGCAAGAGTGCGGCTGACATCATCTCCCAAGCCAGGAAAAAAGGTGATTGGTGTTCCCAAGAGCTGGGAACCAGTCATGTGGCTCCCCTCCACCTCCCCTCCGCCCCAGCTCCCCTGCTGTTCTGTACAAACGGTGCCTGTTTTGCTCATTGCCGCACTGTCTGGGAAACCCTTCCTCCGAGTTAGCCCAGGTGATCTTTTTGGCATCCCGGGTGGATGGCAGGCCCCTGGCATTGCTCCTGCTTGTCAGATGAGTTAACTAGACTTAGGAAGGGTGAGTGGTTTGTCCGAGATAGGACAGCTTCAATCACTTCTTTGAGACTTGGTGCATCTTTCTCCCTCCCTTTGATCCTTCATTGTCAGTTCCTGTTATCTGAGCTTTATAAATGGACACACTAGTCAAGATTATACTGGGGGCAGAAGTAAAAGATCCAACTCAAATGGACTTAAACAAACCAAAGTAAATTATTGGTTGGGAGTGTTTCAGGTATAGCTGGATCAAGGGGTTTAAACAGTGATTTGGGGCTCTATCACTGTTCCTCCTCTCTTGCCTCTGCTTTCCTCTCTGTTGGCTTTTTATTTAGTGTGAACAGTGACAAGAATAAATGTTAAGAGGCACCTGTTGTCCTCCACACTTGACAGGGGGTGCATAATGAGGAAGTAGAGTCTATTTTTTCCAATTGCTCAAGCCAGAGTGCCCAGGAGAACTGTGATTGCCTTGGCTTGGGTCATCGGCCCGTTCCTGAATCAGTATCTGCTCTGGGGATGGTGTGATTGATTGTCCAGGGTTGAGGGCAGAGTGCAGGGGCAGGGTCCCACCACCTGAGCCATACAGATTAGCACAGGTCATTTTGGGAAAGGGGCTGAATGGGTCTCTAAAGCACACCTAGTGGCCCTTCATGCCCCAGGGCTTCTATGCCCTTCATGCCCCAGGGCTTTGTCCCCACCTCCTTCTGACTTGGGCTGCTTTCCTCCATTGCTGTTAACTTGGGCTTCAGTTGTTGCTCATCTGGTGCTAAGCAGAAGTTTACTGTCACTTCAGAGCTTTCTTTTATGCCTTTGTTCTGGTCTCCAGTGACACACTCATGGGCTCACTTGAGAACAGAGTGTGGTTGAGAGCCTGCAGGTGTAGGGCCCTGTGTTTGGTTGGGAGAGAAGATTTACTAGGCCCCTGTGTATGATCATTACCACTGTAATGGAGAGCCAGTCTGGGGGGGCTCATCTACCAAATTCTGCATGTAAGTGGCTGGGGTGGCTAAAAATAGTCCCACTGACTCTGACGGCTGAGTGTTCAGTCGTCTGCCTTTCCGGAAAAGGGCACCCTTTTCTTCTGGGGCGGGGGGGGGGGGGGGATTCTTCCTACTTGTCTAGACAGTCTTTGTTGCTAGCACATTCTGGGGCATCTCCTGCCGTACCCTGCTCACAGTAAGCCTGTTGTTTTTCTTTCCCTGCTTTTAAATGTCTCAACATGACATGGTGTGGTTGCTCCACTGGGTGTGAGTCACTGGGCGAGAACCAGGAAAGCAGCCCAATCTTCCTTACCCATTCTTGGAGAAAGGCAAAAAAAAAAAAAAAAAAAAGGAAGAAAAAGCAAAATGCATGGGGAACACCCCTACCATTTCTCCAAGACTCCCTCGCTCTACCACACTCCCTCTCTCAGGCCTTTGGCTCCTGGCTACATCCTCCCTCCCTCGGAGCTATTCTCAGGATTGCCCGAGGGTCTCGAGGACAGGGTGTTTCAGCTACCTGCTGGGTCTTATTTTAAACCCATGGAGAAAGATTCCTCACCCTTGGCCTTCTGGCTCATAGTGGTCTCGCACAAAGAGCTTGTACAGCTGTGTCTCCCAGGTAGCAGGGTGGCCTTGTTCCCATGTTGAAACCCTGACTCCTGATGTGGAAGCCAGTAAACGTCCCAGGACCTGTTCTTCTTGGGGAAGGAGTCGAGAGTACAAGAGCAGGAAGAGAGTGTAGTGGGGTTCACTCTTCCCTCCTGAGCCCAAGTCCCAGTGTATTCAGTTACCAAGTCGTCTTCTTTTTTTTTTTTTTTTAAGTTTATTTATGTGAGAGAGAGAGAGAGAGAGAAAGCACAAGCAGGGGAGGGGCAGAGAGAGAGAATCCCAAGCAGGGTCCGCACTGTCATCCCAGAACCCCATGGGGGGGCTCGAACTCACGAACCATGAGATCATGACCTGAGCTGAAATCAAGAGTCAGATGCTTAACTGAGTGAGCTTCCCAGGTGCCCCCAGTCACCAGTGTTCTCTTAAGTAGCTCTGTATGGTTGCTCAGAATGAATATTAGGAGTCCACAGTTAAATGAGGACCAGCCGTATGCCCTGCACTGACATAAATACTTCAGGTCTAGTATTCTGTAGAATTGTCAAAGTACCTTGAGAAATAAATAGCCTTTATCATCCCCATTTTTCAGATTGAAAAATTATTATCCCCGTTTTTCTTATTGAAGCACAGTGTGTCAGGATCTCCCAGTTGGGAGAGCTCATGTTCCAATCCAACTATAATTACAATTTTTCTCCTACTCTTCCATCTAAAGACAGTCCAAAGGGAGAGTTCTTCTACTTTAAAGATTATTTTTCTCTTAATAGTACCTGAGGGCTTGTCTTGACTTTTTCTTTCTTTCTTTCTTTGTGGTTCTGTATGCTTTAGTTGGGTAAATAGTTTTAGAGAGCCCTTAAAATTCTCATTAGTCTTGTGTGGCTGCTTTTTCCAGCCATCCCAAAGAGCAGGGCCGTCATAGATGAATCATTGTCATTGCTTCCTTCTTTTGCCCATGGCAGGCATCACAAATCAATCTTGACTCTTGTGATGACACCAGAAGCATATTTAGAATTCTTTCGATAAAAAATTCCAGGGAACCGAAACGAATAGATCGGAGTTGAAGGAAGGCAAGACCTACTTAAAATTTTGGCTATAGAGCCTTCCTAAACTTTGACATTGTGAGGAACTTGAATGTGGGAGATGGAGGGCTGAAGCTGGTGAAGTCCAGGGCTTTATGGACCATTTTTTGCCCAAGATTCTGGCACAGAGAAACTTGGTACTAACCAACCTTCTATGAGACAGCATTTACCTTCTGTCTCTTTATCCCTTCTTCTTTAAGAAGGTCAGCTCAGATCAGTTTATTTCCCAGTATCCCTCCTCCCCACTGCTTGTTTTGGGCGAATAAGCCCCAAATTCCAGACACAGAGTCTAAGGAGCGAGCCCCATCTTTGATGTGTCCCAGGTTTTATCGGGTGTCCTTGAGCAGATCACTCCTTGCTTTAGGTTACGGAGTAAGAGGCATGATGGAAAGATCATGAGCGCCTGTTATCCGAGGGAGTGGACTTAACTTTGTGGAACCAAAACATTTCCTTGCAACAAGCATGATCTAGCAGTTCCCAGTGATGCAGGCACATTGGAGGTTTAGGCCCCTACCATGGGAAGGAATATCAGTAGCATAAGGAAATCGCTTTCACTGAGCATCTGAGTATCTGTGTGCCAGATACTTTGTATGTATCAAATCCTTTCATTTTCAGAAGCCTGAGAAGTAGACATAGTCTTATGCATCATTCCAAGACTGATCTAGTCCACATTTTAATATTTCCGAAATGTTGATGAATCTCGTAATCAGTATACATTTTTTGTTTTGCCTCAAATATTAATTTGCCTCAGGGTTTGGGAATTAAAGGTGCGTCTTATAACCAACGGCTTCTTGTGAACTGGGGAATACAAAATTGTTCATGTTTAGCAGATAGAAAAGCAGAGGCTTAGAGAAGGTGGGCGCATGGACTTGAACCCAGGCCTACCTGTTTTCAGAGCCACAGCCTCGAGTAGGGCTAGGGGCTATGATTACCTGACCCAGGCCTGGAGCAGGACATATGTTATGCAAACCCACCGCCTGTTTCCTACCCTTGCAGGGAACGTGGTCTTTGGTGAGCCCATCACTGCCAGTCTTGGCACAGATGGAACCCATTACTGGAGCAAGAACTGGGCTAAGGCAGCTGCATTTGTGACATCCCCGCCTCTGAGCCCTGACCCGACCACTCCCGACTACATCAACTCCTTGCTGGCCAGGTTGGTGTGGGATTGGCAAGCAGCACGTATCATGTAGAAACATCATGGAGCTAGGGGAGGGATGAGGACTGGAGCAGCCCATCCATCAGCTAGACTGGGGTCTGCAGTGAGGAAAACACATGGAGAATTCCCCTGCAGTCCTGAGCACAGACAGCGGGCTCTTCCCCGTCGTCTTTTATAAATTACCAACCGTAATCATATTAATAATGGGAATAGTGGTTTACACATATGATGTGCCAAGCACTGTGTGAGGCTACGCACATAGTCTCATGGTTCCTTATGATAACTATGAGTGAGGGACTGTCGTCTCCACTTCACAGGCTAAACAACTGAGGGTCAGGCCATTTGCCTATTTTGAACAGCACCTAAGCGAAATTACAGGGAGTTTCGTTTGCTGGTGCCCCCCGAGGACATACAGGACCAGTCGCATCATTCGTTTGGGTCCCTTTTATTTCGTTACACAGAGATGATCTAACCCTGCCCCCTCGTTTTCCAGATGGGCTGTCTGAGCCCCAGGGAGGGAGAGAACTCACTTACACTCACACAGCTGGTAAGAGGTACAGAAAGGATTTTAAACTCAAGTCTCGGCTTCCAAATGCTGACATTGGACACTTGTCCTCCGTGGTGACTCTAGCCACCTCTCTGGTTTACATGGAGCTTTCTTCCTTTGCCAGTGGAGACCTGCAGCTCTCTGGGAGTGCCCACTGCACCTTCAGCACTGCCCAGAAAGCCATTGGGAAGGACAACTTCACAGCCATCCCCGAGGGCACCAATGGTGTGGAAGAGCGGATGTCTGTCATCTGGGACAAGGCTGTGGTAAGGATCAAGATCATGGGATGGGGGCCAGGGCCAGATCAGCATCGCCTGCTGTTGCTGCTTTTTTAGGTGAACTCTCACGCCTGCTGAGATGTTTCTGGAACCAGGTGTCTCAGGTGGTTTAGGAATGTTGCTTCTAGAGTGATGAATGTTGAGATTTTGACAAGATCTCCTTATCTAGACTGGGAACTAGGAAGCAAACATGCAGATCCTTCATCTGATGTAACCCCTTGAAATGGTAAGCAGGGGGTCTGTGTCCAAGAGACTCAAGTCAACTTGCTCATCAAGGATGCTCTTGACTGAGTGTGTGTTTATCCAGGCTGTACAAGTGATTGCCCACTAGTGTCTTTTGACATTGGCCTGGTTTTATTTTCCTTAATAACATAACAGAGCCTGACAGAAGAGCTGTGCAAATGAAGGCTGGACCAAAGGTTTTAGTAAAATTAATAATTAACTCATTATTAAGTTGATCACTTCCTTTTCCTTTTATTTCATTTTTTTTAAGATTTTATTTTTAAGTAATCTCTGTACTCATTGTGAGGCTTGAACTCACAACCCCAAGATCAAGAGTCACATACTCTACCAGCTGAGCCAACCAGGAGCCCCACTTCTCTTATTTTAAAATCTCTAGGGGCGCCTGGGTGGCTCAGTCGGTTATGCGGCCGACTTCGGCTCAAGTCATGATCTCGCGGTCCGTGAGTTCGAGCCCCGCGTCGGGCTCTGTGCTGACAGCTCAGAGGCTGGAACCTGTTTCAGATTCTGTGTCTCCCTCTCTCTGACCCTCCCCTGTTCATGCTCTGTCTCTCCCTGTCTCAAAAATAAATAAAACATTAAAAAAAATTTTTTTAATCTCTAAAGCCACTCATTTCTGAGCTACATGCATTGCATATAAACTAATGCCTCATTCATCTACCCAGTGTAAGCCACCAAGTTTCTCTCCTCGTCTTCACTCCTAGGAAGCTCAAAGCTACATTTGAAACTAAATTCTTTTTACTGTATCCAGAATTTTTTTGTTTTGTGAGGAGGAAAAGTATAAGTATTTTTGTCTCTCACATAGTTAGATTTTGATTTTTTAAAACATGGTCATGTATTTATGAACATACATGCACAGTTCTCTTGGTCTATGTGGAATTGTTAAAAATAATATATATATGTGTATGTATATGTATATATATATATATAATATTTTAATTACCCACATATACACTCTTATTAAAGAGCACTTGGAAAGCATAGAAAAGCACACATACAAAAGAAAACAAAAGCCAGTCAATAATTCCAGAACCCAGGGTTAACCATGGTTATCATTTGGGTGAGGCTCTTCTGTATTTATCCTATGACCATGCAAATACAAACACATATCTAAAAAATAGGCTCATAACCACATTACTTTTTACTGGGAAATTTATAATTCTTTTTCTTTTAAGTGCATTTGTGCTTTTATAATGTTTATTTTTGAGAGAGAGAGACAGACAGACAGAGAGTGAGAGACAGAGAGTGAGTTGGGGAGGGGCAGAGAGAGAGAGACACAGGATCCAAAGCAGGTTCCAGGCTCTGAGCTGTCAGCACAGAGCCCGATGTGGGGCTCGAACTCACAAACTGAGATCATGACCTGAGCTGAAGTTGGACATTTAACCTACTGAGCCACCCAGATGCCCCTGTAATTCTTTTTGGAATGTGAAGGCAAAGAAGTAACCGTATGCACATATCCAGGAAAAAACGCACACTTCAGGAGCAGTTAACTGCCTCCTCCTGTAGCCATGTGTTAACTGACCGTTTTGCCTGGCAGCCAGAAAGGCACAGCCAGCTGTTCGGCTTGTGGGTCGGCTTCTGTGCTCATCTTCTCAGGGGCCCGTCTGTGATCACCCTGCCCCGAGCTCAGAAGCCCTGCACTGACTTTTCTTCTTTTGGTATTCCAATAGGCCACAGGGAAAATGGACGAAAACCAGTTTGTGGCTGTGACAAGCACAAATGCCGCCAAGATCTTCAACCTGTATCCCCGCAAGGGAAGAATATCTGTGGGTTCTGACAGCGACCTGGTGATCTGGGATCCAGATGCAGTGAAGATCGTCTCTGCCAAGAACCACCAGTCGGTAAGGCTCGCGCTGGTGGGAGAGGAGCAGAACGGAGAAGGTGTGCACGGAACTCAGTTGGAAGAGACATGTAGATGTGGGGTACCCCCGGCCAGCTGGGCCAGGATGGGCCGCAGTGACCCACCCTCCCAATTCTCAGGGATGTAATGCCTCAGCAGGTTATTTCTCCCGGCTGAGTCAGCAGAGGGCCCCTCCCAGCTCGGTCACTCAGACAGGGAGGCACCGTCTCCACACGCGAGTCCGTGATGGCTGAGGCCGGCGACTTGGTCGCGGTCCCTGGAGAACTGGCTCAGAAGCTTTCCTTAGACAAGTGGTACCCATCACTTCCTCTCACGCCGCACCAGCCACAGCCAGTCCTGGGCTTCCCCTCACCCCAGGAGGGCAGGCAGTGCAGCGATCCCCGTACCTAGAAGGAGAAAGAACAGAGAAAAACTTGAACAGCACTGACACCGTCCTCATGAGGACTTTCACGTGGAGGTAATAATTAAAGCCCGGTACCTAAGGGAAAGGGCTTAATCCTTGTTAGTAAAAAGAGTTAGTATTTTTAAAGCATTTACGTTTCAGGCAGTGGAGTGTGCTTTTTTAATTCCTGGAATCTCCGTAATAGTCTTCTACAGGTAGACACTGTTACCATCCCCGTTTTATAGATAAGGAAAGGGAGGTACAGAGAAATTAAATAATTTATGCAGCAAGTAAATGGTGAAGTTAGGACACACACCCCACAACTGGACTCCAAGCCGATGTCCTTAACCCTTTACGGTAATGCCTTGCACTTACTGAATAAATGAAGGTAGTAGAGAGAAATCCCATCTTGGGAGGGGATGGCCTTTGTTTAGACATTGAGTCACATCACATTATTCAGTTCCGGGTCATCCAGCCCACCTACTCACCCACCCCGTACAAGAATGCCAAACACAGCATCCCCGAGAGTTCCCGAGCTTCTCTTTGAGCACCGCCAGTGACAAAATGTACTTCTGCATGAGGACCTTCCCAAAGACTGATGCTTGTCTATGCTGGCAAGTCTAGTCTCTACTGTCTCCCCCTGGTGGCTTGTGCCCATGAAGAGCTCACAGATGGCGTTGTAAGCTTTTCCTGGCCTCCCTGGTGCTTTGGCCATAGTGATGCCAAAGGCAGGGTCCCAAGCACAGGAAAACCACGTACCTCTCCGCCCCATCCTGTGCCCACAACCGTGGCTTTGCCCCTCACCCCCGTCTCTAGGCTGCAGAGTATAACATCTTTGAAGGGCTGGAGCTGCGTGGGGCTCCTCTGGTGGTCATCTGCCAGGGCAAGATCATGCTGGAAGACGGCAACCTGCACGTGACCCAAGGGGCCGGCCGCTTCATCCCCTGCAGCCCTTTCTCGGACTACGTCTACAAGCGTATTAAAGCTCGGAGGAAGGTGAGAACAGCTGGTGGAGCCTGGGGGTGGGGGAAGGGGCTTTGCCCCATTCAGCCACGGGGATGGTACCCAGGAGATCAGGAGGGCTCTGTGTGCTGTAGACCTTCCCAAGGAAATTCACAGCAGTGGCCTCTTCCCAAGGGACAACTGCACAGATGTAAGGTACTATAAACTGGGGGTTTCCAAAGCTTTTTTTGGCCCAAGAAACCTTTTTTTCAAATGACTTTCCTCCACGTTTATAGTACTTTTAATTAAAATAATTTGAAATTATAATAATTGAAAATAATGTTTATATGTATATTTTTAGGTTTGTTTTTTTTTTTTTTATAAAAGTTTATTTATTTTGAGAGAGAGAGAGAGAGAGCATGCATGCACAAGCACAGGAGGGGCAGAGAGAGAAAGGGAGTCCTAAAGAGGTTCTGTATTGTCAGCCCAGAGCCCAATGAGGGGCTTGATCCCAGGAACCATGAGATCATGACCTGAGCCAAAACCAAGAGTTGGACACATAACCTACTGAGCCAACCAGAAGCCCCAATGTTATATAGTTTTAGAAAATAACTAAGGCTTACAGTGAGAATTAGCAGCCCACACCCACCCCTCCCGGTCCCATCTCTTCCATTGTTCCTCTAGAGGCCAAATGTTTGTAACTCTTTTATCTAGTTGTATGGTTCACATAAAACCTTGTGGATGTCCCTGGTTTCATAGACAGGTAGAAAAACAGATATGCAGACACCTATTTCTTCTGTATGTATCTACCTACCTACCTACCTACCTACCTACCCACCTACACTTTACAAACCAATCAGCTCCAGTTGATATAGGGGTGAGGCCCAGAACCCTGTTTTTTTTCAGCCCCTGCTACCCCCACACCAATCACAAGGTCACCTTCCAGTAAGGTTTGGGCTCCACAGAGCAGGGTTAAATCAGCCTTGGGATGGGGTGGAATTTTAGCCCTGGTTCCAACCTTGTCTGTTAGAAGACACACGGTCATGTGTGCACATGGGATGGGTCAGAAGGAGTCATGATGGTGAGGTTGGGGGCCGGAGGCAGGAGTTTGGGCACACACCACAGTGGCCATTAGAGAGAGGCTCACGGAAATTCCATATGCAAGCACCCCATCCCTCTCCCAGACCCCCCAGTGATCCCACCGACTGGTCACCCAGCTCCCAGGGGAGGCTTCCAGCCTCCCCACCAGAGGCAGCTACCAGCCCTGTCTGTGAGGACCAGCTTCTTCCTGCCAGCCGGAAGTCTCCCTCCCTAAGGTCGACCAGCTCCTTCCGTTCCGCTCCCTGCACGTGCACAGAACGAGGTGCACATCTTTTAGGGCATGTGTGTGTTTCCCGACTCCTCTGTCGTGTAGTCTCAATATCCCTGTAGCCTCCACTGTTTACTTCATGACCACGTTTTAAATCCCTCCACCGTTCTTACCTCTTTATTAGCGATCGTTTAAAGTTACGTGGGATGGAGTAAAATTCCACACGCCAGGTTTGGCCTGATAGAGAACAGAATGAAACCCAACCTCCCATGTACATCATCTCTTGATTTCCATTAATGAGACTTAGATTCTGCACCCAAAGAAATGTTGATGGTCTGGAGGCTTTTCAGGGAACACGGAAATAGAGACGGCCCCACCCAAATCGTCAGCACCTGCAAACGTGAAGAGCTTTGCCCCTGTGCCTGCACTGGGGTTGTGAACATGGGGCAGGGAAGGCTCTGTGGTAGAGCCCGCCCCTCACTGTTGGGCTCCTCTGGCAGCCAGTGGGAGGACATGGGTGGAGGCGGTGTGTGTCCCATAGACCGTGAGCCGGCTGGGGGAGGGGAAAGGTGTTGTGTGACCCTTCTCCCCAGCTCCTGGCAGCAGGCCTAGCACAGCACACACCCACGGCTGGTGTTGCTGGCTGGCTGCTCAGTTCCAGGTCGGGTTCACAGCCGCAGCCAGAGGCCCGTGGGTCAGACCACAGGATACTCACTTTGAGGTTTGGCACCTCTGCTCTGTGCTAAGGAGCGCGTCGGGGGAGCTCCCACGGGATCTCACTTCTACCAGCACTTACGACCTTGTCCCAAACTGCTGCCCTCCCTGCTCCCTCTGCTTTGGTGTGCAGGTGGTCCTTCCGTCCCTAACCTTTCCCCCCACCTGCTTCCTCTGCTGGGAACGCTGCCTTCCACACCGGACCTCTGCACTTCGCAGCCTTCTCTTTCCCTCAACCCCAGCCCCACAACACAACAGGCTCTTTTGTTCCTTAAGAGTGAGGCTAACCTGGGGCACCTGGGTGGCTCAGTCGGTTAACCGTCCGACCTCGGCTCAGGTCATGATCTCACAGTTCGTGGGTTCGAGCCCCGCGTCGGGCTCTGTGCTGACAGCCTGGAGCCTGTTTCAGAGTCTGTGTCTCCCTCTCTCTCTGCCCCTCTCCTTCTTGGGTTTTCCCTCTCTCTTGTCTCTCAAAAATAAATAAACATGAAAAAATACTTTAAAAAAGCAAAGCCTACCTGTCTCAAGAGGTCTCCACTGACCTGTTGCACCGTCACCCTGTCCTCACACCCCTCTTATGTTCCTTCTTTCCTTCAAATAACTCTCTTATTTTCTGGCTCCCATTACACACTTAATTCAGTCATTTATCTCTGCTACCTGGCACAGACCTTAAATGCTGACAGAATAAAGGGTGACACGCTTTCTCTGCTGCAGATGGCAGACCTGCACGCCGTCCCGAGGGGCATGTACGACGGGCCAGTGTTTGACCTGACCACCACTCCCAAAGGGGGCACCCCCGCGGGCTCCACCCGGGGCTCTCCCACACGGCCCAACCCGCCCGTGAGGAACCTCCACCAGTCGGGATTCAGCCTGTCGGGTGAGTGGATGGTGCCGGAGGGTGAGCAGGGAGGAAGGAAGGGGACAGGGGAGGAGCAGCCCCTACGAGCTGGCAGGACACCTGTAGGGAGAGGGTGCTTGGAGCAACTAGGAAGCTTTGCCGAATCAAGAGAGTCCTGCTGAGAAGGCAACGTAAGGCTCAGGGAGATCAAGGGTCAGGTTTAAATGAGGACCGGGTCTGCTTAGACATCACACCTGGTGGGGTGGGGGCAAGATGTTTTCCATTATGAATCGAGGGTGATTTTCCACAGGAGACGGTGGGAGCTGTGTATGGAGGTGTTCTGTCTGTTTGCCCGGGGTTAAAGCTCAGATGGCAGTAGGTTCTTCTAACCTGGCATATTTATTTATTTTATTTATAAAAAAATATTTATTTATTTTTGGGAGAGTGCAAGTGGGAGAGGGGCAGAGCAGGGGACAGAGGGTCTGAAGTGGGTTCTGCGTTGACAACAGCAACCCTGATGTGGGACTTGAACTCATGAACCGTGAGATCATGACTTGAGCCGATATCAGACGCTTAACCACCTGAGCTGCTTAGGTGCCCCTAACCTGGCGTTTTTCCTGTCCTCTCCCCTTTCTCGTAATAATGATAGTGCTAGAAGTAGATGCTGTTGATTAAGTACTTACCCTGGGGTAGCCGTACCATTCACCTAGTCTTTAAGAACGGATATTAGCAGAAAATAATTATCTACTTGCTCCATAACCAGTAGTCTTAAAGAGGGGAGAAAAATAAATGGAGATTTGCGTGTCTATGATGAACAATCGAAGTGTGAGGGAAACAAGACCAGAAGGGACAGGGACAGGTAAAGAGGAAACAGGTATCGGGGAAGAGGAGTAAGGAATGGCAGAAGCAGGAGAAAGAGGGTAAAAAAAATCAAGGGGGAGACAGAGACAGGGGAGGGAGGCAAAAGGAAAAGGCTGAAAGTTTGGAGGTGACGTCGCCACAGGTAAGGTTATGTTTGTCACAATATTTGCTGCCAGTGTGGCTGCCATTTTGAATCGCTCCCTGGCTGACGTCATCCTTACAATTTCGGCAGCTTCTCTGTGAAGGACACGAGTATGTGCACATCAGGGTTTCCTTTTGTGCCGAGGCTGCAGGGGCCCCGACCCTCACCAGGCCAAGCTGTGACACCTTGGGCAACTTGCCTCACTTCTCACAGCCTCAGTCACTGCCTCTGTGAAATGGGGATAATAACAGTAGCTTCCTCAAAGGATAGTGGTGAGGACAAAGTCCGGTATCTGAGGGTACAAGGACACATTCCTTGTCGCAGCGGATGTAAGCAGTGATTTCTCCTACCTTAAGGAATGCTTTTCTTAAGTATCATTTTCATGATGCTGAGACGGTATCTATACGAACCTAGCTTTTCCTGGTGGAGACGGGATTCCGGGGGACGGTGGATATGAAATGTCTGGAATACTTGACACACCAGAATGGAAGTTTCTTGGGAGACGAGGCCAAGAAGGCACTTGCCAGCTGACACTCTGAAAATTAACCCAGTTTCTCTCTTGTCCGCACCCCGCTCCCTCTCCCTTTTCTCTTCCTGGGAATGTCTTGCCCACTGCAGGCACCCAAGTGGATGAGGGGGTCCGCTCCGCCAGCAAGCGCATTGTGGCGCCCCCTGGAGGCCGTTCTAACATCACGTCCCTGAGTTAAGCGACCCCTCCCCACAGAGAGGGGCAGAAGCAAGAAGAGATTTTCTTGAAGCCAAAATGGTACACCGATATTTAAGAAGGAAAGCGAATCCAAACAGTTGTGATCTAAAGAATCAATAAGCCTCAAGCCTTATGTTTCTCCAATGCTACACTCGCTTGCCTAGCTTTACGAATATTGCTTTTGTTTTCTGTTTATGCATAGCCTTGATTTGTTGGACCCTGCCTCCCCCCATTTACATGCATGCAATCAGGCTACTAAGGTAAAAGAGTCTGCTATATAGTGTTGAGAGCGTGTGTAGTGCTGCATCTTATGACAAGGGGACAGACGAAGCTGGGATGCCAGGAAAATCAACAAAAGGGACGTGGTTATTTGGGGTGAGGGGGTGGGGAGACCAGAGCGAGGCGGAAGGCTCAGAGGGCCTGGGGGAGGGGGTGTCCCGGGGAGGCGGGGGGGGGGGGGGCGGGGGGGGGAGCAAAAAGGGGCTTGTGTATTGTGTCGATGAAGCACGTTTATTTCCATAGAAGGTGGCCACCCTGGGGGAGCCGTTCCTTCATCACGGTCCCCAGGGTCTGTGGAGAAGGCAGGCAGGCAGGCAGTCTTCAGGTTCCAGCCTTTGTCACATCCCCTCCTAGATTTTATTCCTTTGAACCTTTTATTAAAAACACCAAAACCCAAGCATTACTTTCACTGCTCGATCGTGCCAGTGTGCGGGGTGGGGGGAGCACTTTCCCAGTGTTGCTTTGCAATTCTCTTTGCCCGGCTGGGAAGGAAGAGAGGGGTTAGGAGACCACCCTTCTCCTCCTCCGTCCTGCCGGCCTCTTTGGTGCTGTTAAAAGGCAACAGCTGGGAGCGCACACATAGGCCCCCGAGGCGGGTGGGGGCAGCCAATCTCACGCACCTCCCTGTAAACGTGCTGGAGGTCGCCTCTCCCCTTGGCTGGCGAAACCCAGAAGAGCCACGTGCATCTGGCGTCCCAAGTTAGGACGAGCCGAGGTGGGGCCCGGGAAGGGCTACTCTTGCTGGCGGTGAGTGGCTGCTTCTTTCTGTCTGGGGATCCAGGCACATCTGTGATTGAATAGGATTGTTCATTTGCAAATATATGCACTTAGGTGTTCTCGAAGTTTTGCAAGGAACAGGTGATCTCAGTTGAGATGGGAGCCACGGGAGCATTTGGGAAAGCGAGTCTCTTGAGCTGGGGGGAGCATATCCTGGGACCGTGGGTCTGCTTTTCAGGTCTGAACCACCTGTCTCCCCTTCCTTTAGCACATCCTCCGGGGGAGCTTTTTGTTTCCGTCTAAAGTCTCCCAGGGTGAGTGGAAGTGACACGCAGTCTTGGGTGATGCGTGGAACCCCGTGTGCGTTTTTCCCCGTCCTGCTGCTTCTGCATATTCAATTTTGGAGCAAGTTCTGTGAGCCAAATGAGTATCTGTGGAACCAAGAGGCCCGTAGGCAGAATAAGTATATTCACCCTGGGATCCGACTTCTGTGCTTGGGGGATTCAGCTCGTAGAACCCGTAAACCTGTGTACCGGGTGCTTTGAAGAAACGAAGAGCAGGCCTCACACACCTGGCCATGATGTCTGATGGCAGGTTTCAATAAGCTGAAGACCAGAGAAAAGGGGACAACATAGGACTAAATATATCCAAGGAAGAGGATCCCCCCCTTAGCAAGCCAATTATTGTTCTAGTCATGAAAAGGATCATTTCTCCTCCTAACAAGGAATCTTGCTATTTTAAGGCTTTTTCATGGTGCCTTTATTTTAAAGGAAACTTAGGGGGAGCATGTACCTTTTCCTTTAGAACTCAAAGATTTAGGGGCCTTTCGCAGAACTCAGAATGACGGTTTTGCGGGCAGAGGGAGATGGTCAGACCTGAAGCAGGTACACAATTATACCGCAGGGGTGGGCTGGGCGGTCTGAGGTGTTGCAGTACCAGCCACAACCACCAGATGGAGGAAAAGACAAACTAGTGGGCTCCTCTTGTGTACCATCTGATACTGTTAAGTTAGCAGTTACTGTTACTTAAGCTGTTACGTTAGCTAGTGTTAACTTAGAGTCCAGCCCCTCCCTCCTTGACCTCTGTATGCCATGAAAATAACTCTTGCATGGCCAAATGGGTCATCTGCCCTGGGACTGCTGAATGAAGCATTCAACCAGAACTTCACATTGTATACAAGCTTTCTGTGCTGTGGAAACAACCACCTCTGATGCCTTCATGATGGGCAACATGATCTGGGGAAGCCTCTCTTTCTCCACTTACTATAAGTAACTTCCTAAGCACAGAGATTCCTAAGAACTTCAAGAAAACTCCCTTTATTTGCATCACTTTGATTTCTTGAACCTTGTCACTTTAGTTAAAATTATGTTCACCTATGTCCTGTTCCATAAGACACATCAAAGAGCTCTCCGTATACAAAGGGTTTAGGAAGAGAACATGATGCGAGTTGCATCCCTCTCAGAGTTCACGCCATCTCATCCAAGAGTGGAGGCCATGCTGGACCTTTCTCTCCTGCCCAAGCTTTCCTTTTTCCCTCTCTTCTCTTAGCCTGGCCCCTCTCTAAAGATGGCCTGCCTTCCCCCAACCTTCTCCCATTGTTCCTCAACCCAGGTGGCCATCATCTGAGTTCTGGGAGGGCCACCATCTTGGGTGGTTGAGAAGGTATTTGTGGAATCGTTAAATCAGCCAACCCGGCAGAAGTATTCTATTTCTATGTTTTCTAAAAATGGCAGTGTTGTTGTCATCACGAAAATGCGTTTTCTTCAAAGACCAGTCACCCTCTGGCCTTTTTCTTCATGCCAACACCCAGAGAGTCATGCTTTGCTGCAAAGGCCTTAATCCTAATCCTGGACTTCTGCTCACCCTGAGAAGCCCTTCCCAACTAGGGTGGATGAGCCCTGAGTTTGGTTCTTGCCACAAGCTTCCCAGGCCTTCTCTCCCCTAGAAAACTCCAGCTTGAGTCCCAGATATACCCATGGGCTGTCCTCGGCAGCCAGCATTCATTGTAAAAGTTCCCTCCTTGGAAAATGGTGTGTGGGTGTTCAGTTCTGTGTCTGGTGAAAACGAACAGACCGTAAATCTCCCCGTGATCTGTGGTAGCTGTGAGGCAGCTCTGGGACGTGAAGAGCTGTTTGGTTTGAACCGTGAAGAAAACTGTGTTTTGAGTTTAGCTGAGATTAAAGAAAAAGTTCATCAAGTGACTGTTAATGTACACCTGGTTATTAAAATAACTATGAAATTACAGATGTTGTCCAGTTTCCTTCTGTGTGCGACGGGCCATTTCACTTGCAGTATTAAAATTGCACGGTAAATGGAAATGGTTAATGAGGCGGGCAGATCTGATGAAAACAAGAGGTTTCCTGAGAAAATGTGGGGGTTTCTGTGTTTTCAGTTGCATTTGAGTTTTTGTTTTGGCTGCAGCGTTTGATGACCGTTATTGAAACTTAGGAGAGTAAAGTTGTGTCTGTGGATCATCAAAGTTGGCATTGATGTAAAAGGCATCGCCATCTGAGATAAAGTCTGGCTGAGTCCAGTACAGATCCTGGAAGGGTTTCTTTCATTTGTTTTTTGGTCACCCCCATAAAGAATTTCTGCTTCTCCCTAAAAGCCTAGACTTGGAGAAGATTCAAACCAAGCATTTCCCAAAGCATATTCTGCCCCATACTGATTCCAGGTTGTCTAAGGAGTGTTGGGAAGGATTATTCACTAAGTGTACTCCTCTGAGAGACTTAAGATCCTGTCATCAAATTCAAGGCTATGAGAAATCTTGTCAGTCTTTGAAAATTTGTCCAATTCAAGATTCTCAAACTTTATTTGACTGCTGAACCCTTCTCTATCCTCTTTTAACATCCCAACCAACTTCTTATGCTAAACTCTCTTGGGGAAACACTCCTGTATCAAATTCCACATCGTATGGGATGCTTTTCATTGGAAATGGCAGACTATCGTGTACACAAATTTTTCTTGAAAAGGGTATTTTTTAGAAAGTCCTTTTTTTTAAGGTTTTATTTATTTTTGAGAGAGAGTGCACGAGCAGGGGAGGGGAGAGAGAGAGGTGGAGACAGGATCTAAAGCGGGCTCCGCGCTTACAGCAATGAGCCTGATGTGGGGCTGGAACTCACCGCGAGATATGACCTGAGCCAAAGTTGGACACTCAACTGACTGAGCCACCTTGATGCCCCTTGAAAAGGGTATTTTCAAGTCTGGTGTAATGAGAACTTAAGGGATAGACTTGGGTGGATCCAAGCATAGGTGGGTCTAGAACATGGTTTCTTTTCATCTCTTAGCCCAGCTTGCCTTTAGTCCTTCATAGGAAAGCTTCTGCATGTGGGAACAGAACTGGCCATCAGCACCCCCAGGTTTTCATTTTGTCTGCCTAGTGACTTCAGGAGAAGGAGAGAGGCTCCTTAACTAATCCCAGCCAAAGAGACTGATTATGGTTGGCCTGGCTTGGGACATGTGTTCCCCATGGGACTAGGCACTATGGCCAGGACACTGGGACTGATGGATCCCACCTGGTCATGTGCCCCGCCCCAGAGCTACCTGAACTGTGTGAGCTCTGAATCACACACACGCACACAAAACAGTTTGTGATACTGGGAGGAGAAGGTTCGGATACCGCTTGGGCAAGAACAGCAGATGGCCATGGTACGTTTCCCAAGCCTGCTGGGCCTACGTGATTTGCTCAGCTAGGTGCCTATGTGTGGGTGGGGCAGATGGAGGAGGGGTAAGAGAATGATAATTTCTTATTAATTGGTTCTATGTGTCACGAACCCCTCTTGATTCGGTAGAACAATGCTGTCAGTATAGGAACATAGAGTGACGGTACCTTTTAACACCAAAGCTTAGAAAACATCAAACGCTACTCTCAGAACATGGTTGTTTCAGTTTGAGGGTCACGGTTTGACCCATAGTCAAAGTCTCAGTTTGAAGCTTACACTCAGGATTGGTGAAATACCTCTCCCAGCCCATGACCAAGCAGCAGCTGAGCTCTGCTTAGGGTTAGAGTGGACTCATAGGGCATGGTCAATGCTTAATTGAAGTGAACTCAGGTTGCAGGGTTGGCAGGTTTTTTGTTTTTTGGTTTTTTTTTTAAATGTTAGTGAAATAGACACCATGACTTTTGTACCTCTGTGGGCTAGAGCTGTTCGGGGCTGACCAGGTGCAGAATGAGAACACTGCACAGGAGGAAAAAGGTCCCTCTGGTTTCAAAGAACTCCCTGGAATCCGCTTTGCTACCATCAGACCATCACAAAAGGGACACCAACCAGGAGCAGGAAGTGGGGGATGG